GATGGTATCTGCAAAGATCTCATTATCTCATGACATTTGCTTGATGGCATATTAAGATCAGCTGTTTTAAATCCAGCATTAGGAAAGTGAAATTTATCTTCTAACCTACCTGAACTAATATAGTAGATAAAAGAGGTGCTGACTGCTCTTTACGAACAGTTTGAATCACCAAAAAGCTACACCAATTTCTGTTAAAAAAATAAAAATAAAATTATATATATGTATGTATGTATAAGATCTGTCATTCATTTCATTTTTTCTTTATTTTATTTTATTTTTTAAACTAAGAGTGTTCTCATTCCTGAAACTGCATACCTGCTTGGGAAGGCCAAAGGTCCTTTTTTTCCCCCTCATCCAGATCCTTCAGCGAGGAAATGCACACTTCCTACCAGACCACTCTGATCATTAAACAGCACAGTGCAGCTCACAGGGTATCTGCTCCACAGCATACATGCACACTGGCTAAGGAATGAATAGAAAAAAAAGCTGCCTGTCACTTTATCTGGGAAAAGGTACAGCTGCAGCAGCTTGAAAACAGAAAACAGACACTGCTAGCATCTCCACTCAAATCTGAGTAAGAAGATTTATAATGAAAGACTGAGCACTTCGATGGAAGAGCAAACAGACTGCAAAACTCTCCTCTAGATGCAGTGGGAAGGCAGAGATGACATGCAGTTAGGATATCAGTTTCACAAGTTTAATGGTGAAATAACTAAGCATTCTTTTTCTCCAGTCTAAGTTAACTACTCTTCTCATGTGATGTTCATTACTGTACTTATTCACCTAGTTTTCTAGTGCTCCTCAAGCCTGTGTGCCTCAGACAGCACCAGGTAATGACTTCTGATCAACACCTCATTACTTGACTGCTTTTCTTGAAGCATTTTCCTAGAAGCCAAACAGGTTGGCAGCACAGCAAGCAACAGAAGCTGACCTCCCTCTGACAAACAGAAGCTGTTTAAGGCTCCTACAGGTTAGCACACGTAGCTCAGTATAAATTTGTTGACAGCTAAAGCTATTTATTTGTGCTCCGAAAGCAATCACCTGCAGCACTTCCATACACAAATTCAGCTGTCAAAGAAGCATGCTTCCCAGTAACCATGTCAAAGCACACCTGGAGCGCCACCAGGAAACACAAGCAGTAGCAGAGGAACTGTTGCACACACCTCCAAACTCCCCGATTTCATTGCAGAAAGCAAGTGGAAGCACAACTTCAAGGAACAGGTACCAAATGAAGCCACTTGCTTTTATGCTGATGGTTACTTGTAATAAATAAGCTCATCCATCTCCTTATAAACACGATGAACAAAAAAGGGCACGATCTGTAAGGCATGTAAGATTCCAACAATAGATAGGAAGGCCAAAAGCAGAGCATTCCTGAAGCCCGCAACTAACATCCATGTGTTTATGTTCACATACGCAGCATGAAGCCCCTCTACAGAAATATTATAAAGCAACCATAAATTCATCTACTAAACAGAAATCAGGAGAACTCTTTGGGCATAAGGATGCACAAACTGAAATGCAAATGCAGGATGGATGCACAACTTCCTTAATGTGCCATAAAATTAATGATCCCTTCTGGCCTACATGCACGTATTTTCAAGTGCTTCTGATTGAACTCTTTCTATTCATGTATCAGCAAAAATGTTCACTGTGTTACTCTACATCAGCAGAAGTATCCAAACAAGAAGGAGTGACTTGAGTAAAATAAATGCTTCTGTCTTCAGAGGAGCAGTGAGCTGCTTCAGCAGCACTGCAAGCCAGGTGACAAACCCTAGTTTCCAGTGCCACAACAGAACTGAATTACCAAAGGGATGGAGAGAATGTAAACAAACAGAAAGCAACAAAAAAGAAATGCATTCAAATTTACTTTAAAAATACTCAAAATTGAGCATTAAGTGTACAATCAGTAAAAGAGCATCCTGAGGCAATCACACAGAAACCGAGCATGAAATTCACTTCCCATCCACGCTGTCAGCATCATAATAACCCGAAGCCATGTCCTTACTTTGCCTTTCAGCACTTCCTCCCCCCCAGACACCCTCAGCTCTGCCATGCAGCATCAAACTCTGCTGTAGTGAGCAACGCTCAAACCAGAACTTCGAGGTGAGTGCTCAGGTACCAGGCAATCTAGTTACTATAAATTACCACCATTATTCCTCCTATCAACTGCCACCATTTCCAAACAACTCCAGCAAAGTTAAATTCACTTCTGAAAGACTTCGGGCTGAATGTGTGTCTCATTAAGAAGGATTCTTCTGCCAGAAGATGTTAGAATGCTCTTTGTTACCACGCATTCAGTCAAAAAACAAATAGCTAGGCAGTAAGAAATAACACAAGGACTTCTCTGCTCTGCAACTTTCCCCACTTCTAGTTGGAAGGATTCGTGAGATACATTTCTTACTCACCAGCAGAAAAGCACTACAAAATGCTCACACAGTACCTGAAACTCACAAAAGGACAGCTTCCTACTTCTGCTTAATTATGAGCTCCCTCTTACAGGAAATTAGAGAACCCTCACACTTTCCTACTCAGGTTTAATTCAGGATAAATGATAAACACTCAATAACACAAACATACTACACACCAGAAGCCTAATCCCTTCACAGCTAGAACCTCCACGTGAGCGAGAAGAGCTGCTGATTTGTAAAACGCTTCGAGCGCTCATAAATCTTTAAGATACTTACATGGAAATCATTCTGGGATTTTCATCAAGATCAGATCAAAACAAAAGTCCAATAATGATGCTCACACCCACACTCCAGATGTGAGAACCAGCAGTGTGCTCCAGCACCCTGCCTGCAACCACAGTGACTCCGCACTGCTTTAATTTGTTCTCCAAATAAACTTCAGAAAGAGTTTTAGAAATGAGTGATAACAATGAATCACCGCCAACTTTAAGCTGGCATACCAAATAATAGTACTACTTTAAAGATAATCAGAATGAAATCACACCAAAAAAAATTAAAAGATGTGAACCGGAGTGCTTTCTTCAATGCAAAAAACTCAATCGTGAACAGAGCAAGTCATACACCTCTACTAGAGCAACAGGGCTGTAAGAGACAAGGCAGATACATCAAGCAGCTTTAGGTCTTGAAAATTTGTAAATACAGTTATAGTCAATTGAGGCAGCCCTCAGCTCTGAGATCATTGAGCCGTGTGTGTGAGTGAACACCAGCCACCCCAACAGCTCTCATGGGTGCAGTCCCAGCAGAGGGCTGAGCATACAAAAAAGAATCATAGAACGGCCTGGGTTGCAAAGGAGCACAGTGCTCACCCAGTTCCAACCCCCTGCTGTGTGCAGGTCACCAACCAGCAGCCCAGGCTGCCCAGAGCCACATCCAGCCTGGCCTTGAATGCCTGCAGGGATGGGGCATCCACAGCCTCCTTGGGCAACCTGTTCCAGTGCTTCACCACCCTGTGTGGAAACCTTCCCCCTGATATCCAACCTAAACCTCCCCTACCTCAATTTAAAACCATTCCCCAAGACCCCTAAGTAATGGAGATGTCAGAAGAGAACAAACGAACAGCTCTCTTCCCCCAAAACTCCCCATGAATAACAGCAATATTTCTATTTAAAAAAAAAAAAAAAAAAAAAAAAAAAGCTGTCTGAAGTGAACTTCTCATACATTTAACTACAGCCACCTATACCTGGAAAAGCCTTACCTGCCACTAACACATAAATCTACAGAGAACTGTATGTGTAGCACTGGGTTGAGACCCACCCCACAAACAGAGCAGTCAGCACACAGCAATACCCCAAACTCTCCATCAATGGCACAGCTGAACACCGTGCTCTGATAACGTATCTCACACTGCACCTCTCTGCTGCTTCTCTGACTGTTTCATATTGAGAGTCCTGCAGAACATAACCCCACAGCCACGCTTCAGGGCAGGAACAGAACCACAGAACGGCCCGGGCTGGAAGCGACCTAAAGATCATGAATCTCCAACCCCACCCGCAGGCAGGGCCACCAACCTCCCCATTTCACAGCAGCCCAGGCTGCCCAGGGCCCCATCCAACCTGGCCTTGAACACCTCCAGGGATGGACGGGGCATCACAGCCTCTCTGGGCAGCTGTTCCAGCACCTCATTGCTCTCATAGGAAAGAACTTCCCCCTGACATCCAGCCTAAATCTTCCATAACCCCCATTCCTACAGCCTGGTGGAATTTAGCACACCTCTCCTTACAAAAAAGACACAACGCTTTAGGATCAACCCAAGCTAAAATCCATACAGCAGCAACCAACCCAAACCTCACCATCACTTCGGCAGCCCACGGGCAGCCGGAGGGCGAGCAAGCAAACACCGTTTAATCAAAAACAACGCGGTCATTTCGAACGAGCCACGTCTGACACGGACCGGAGGCAGCAGCCGGGCTGCGAGAAGCTCCGCGCCGCCAGCACCGCTCCGCTGCTCCCCGTCCCGCGCCTCCACACAGCGCCGCGCAGATGCCGGCGGCGAGGCGCGGAGCACAGCTGCGGGACAGACAGCTGCCGCTCGCCACCGAAAACCCCCAGCAGAGCGAATTGAAGCTTCTCTTTACCCGACTTAACGGCACGCTCGGCTTGAAAAGCCCCGGCGCTGACGAGCCCGCAGCCGACCGCACGGCAGCGGCACGCCGCCGCCTGTCACACGCGCCGCCTGACCCGCAACCCGCGCCCAAGAGAAGCGGCTGAAGCGCGCTACGCCGGCTGCGCCCGCTCGCTCATTCAGAGACGCGCCTTGCGCCTTCCTCCTTCTTACGCTAGCGTAAAGGCCTCCCCCCGCTAATCAAAACACTCGCGAGTCGGGACGCAAAGAAGATGGCGGAGCAGGGCCCGCTTACGGCGTCGGACAGCAGTTTACGCTGCGCTCTTTGCGCAGCGCCCAGTCAAACCCGTGCAGCGCCGCGGCGGGGAGCGTGCGTAGTGCGCTTGGTGAATGCCGATGGCCTATTTCCCGTGAGGGGAGGGGGGTGTCTGATAAACAATGGTGCCCCCCCTGCGCGGCTCCCTTACCGATTCCTCCTCTTTCTCCATCCCCGTGGGCATCTGCGGCACAGCCCGGTTGATGGAGACGCAGTCGTTGAGGTCGGGCATGTCCTTGCCGCGGTAGATGGGCAGCGGTTTGGCGGCGTCTAGCGCCCGGGCTCGGAAGGAGAGTTTGCTCATTGTCTCCCCCTCACAATAACACCCCGGGGCCGGGCGGGCGGGGGGGCCCTCAGTGCGGCCGCGCCGCCGCCTCCCAGCCGCTCCCGCACCCGGCCCGCACCACCATGGAGGGTCCCGCCGCCCCGGAACAGCTCTCCGCGGGGCCGCCCGTAGCTCACAGCGCACGCCCCGCAGCCCTAGATCCGCGCCGGGCTCGCTCGATCCGCTCCCTGCGCCATGGCAAACATGGCGGACATTAACCAAAGCGGCCAGCGATCCCGGCAGCCACCGCGAGAGTCGGGGGGGGGGGGGGGGGGAGGACGGGACGGAGGAAGGGAGGCGGGAGGAGGGAGGAGGTGGTGGCCGCGCTGCGCGCGCAGCCAGAGGCGGTGCTGAGGAGAGCCGAGGAGGATTGGGGCGGGTGGATGCTTCGGTTCTCCGTGCTTCAGTCAGCCCGAGGGCTCCGCTCTTCTGCAGGTGGGCTCTCGGCTCGCCGATCGGCCCGAAGGAGCGGGTAGTGCTGAGACAGCGGGAAGGCGGCCCGCCCAGTCAGTGTCAGTCAGTCAGTCAGTCTGTCAGTCTGTCTGTCAGTCACCGTGCCCCTCAGCAGCTCCACTGAACAGTGAAGGACTGCAGGGAGTTTTGCAGGTGCCGCATTTTTACCTTTAAAGGTGTTTTGTTTCGGTTTTAACTTAACAAATGGGAAAACTGGGACGATCAGGTGCTGCCTAGGCTGTGATTTCTTGGGGTCAGACCAGTGAGTGACACTCGTTAGGATTTGCGTTAGCAAAAGCTGCTGGTAGTGAGCCTGAGCGTGCTCCTTCCTTGTACTTTGGGATTAAAACACATTTCTAAATACAGTTAGGCTAACAAAAGTTAGCAGTGGAGGTTCAGGATGGATATCAGGGACAGGCTGTGGGCAGGGCACAGCTTCCAGGGCAGCCAGAGCTCAGCGAGAGCTGGGACACCAACCTCAGCCATAGGGATTGACTGATGCTCTGTGGGAAGGGGTTGGACTCGCTGGTCCTCGTGAGTCCCTTCCAACGCGGGATGTTCTTTGATTAAATTAACCTGCCTGCAGCTCCCTGCCCTCACAGCTCTCACATGCTGTGCAGAAGGAGAAGGGGTAAAAGCCATACACTCCAATTAATATTACAGACAAACATTTCAGAAACAAACTCGTGCCTATTCAAAAATATTCCTTCAAGGATTTCATGTTGTACTCTCTACATGGATTTAATCTTGAAGAGGTGCGGAAGTTCCACATGCTGCAAATTACAGAGCTTCTTGTTTTGTGTTGTCTGCATGTCCAGAGCAGTGTGTTCGCTCATGCTCTTCTGCTGTAAAAATGCCTTGCTCCTGTTTGTTTTCTCCCTCTTTCAAAATACACAAACAGGAACAGCTAAACAGGAACAAGGCATCCAAATTTTTGAAGAGTGTCCTCAACATGGAGAGGCTAAGCCCCAGTCCCCATACAGACAAAGCCACAGTCCTTCGGTGTCCCAGATCTTCTTACACCTACCCAATATATTGCTTTATCATAGAGTCATAGAATCACAGACTGGCCTGGGTTGCAAAGGAGCACAGCGCTCACCCAGTTCCAACCCCCTGCTGTGTGCAGGTCACCAACCAGCAGCCCAGGCTGCCCAGAGCCACCTCCAGCCTGGCCTTGAATGCCTGCAGGGATGGGGCATCCACAGCCTCCTTGGGCAGCCTGTTCCAGTGCCTCACCACCCTGTGTGTGAAAAAATCTGCAAAGCCCGTCACATTTCCAATACATCATCACTTCCATATTATATTGACATCATAAATATTGATATCTTGAGATCAGATGCTTTTTCTTCTTTCCACCTTAGAACTCTTGCAGGAGTTGTCACTGCAATATGCTGGCCCCGGAATAAACTGATACTGTTAGGCTGATAAGCTTTGACCATGTCACACTTTGGAGTACAGCGTTGACTGTATCTAAGATTCTATTCCATTTTTCTTTTTTAGAAGAAAAACAAAAAACAAACACAAAAGATTGTCCAAACAAGTTTAGTCTCTGAATTGCAGTTGATTTTTGGTTACCTTACGCATTTGTTATCTATGTGGTTTTATATAGAAAGTGTATACTGTTCTTGATAAACACGTGATTTACAAAATGAAGAATAATGAATTCTGTCAGCTAGAGAGAGATAAGGAAGATGGAACAAATGCACTAACTCATAAGAAGAGGAAAAAAAAAGCAGAAATAACTTTGTGCTTATGTCACATAGATCAGAATTATCTTGGGAAAGAAATCTGAAAATTATGTTAGATACTCCTATGAAGGCATCAGGTTAACGTTCAGTTATGCAGTACAAATATGAACAAATGAAATTTTAAATTGATGAGGAAAGGAACAGAGAAGAGAACTGTGATAGTGCATCCCAGTCTAGTAAGTCTTACTTATAATTCCCTTGAACATTTTTGTGTTCACAGACAATTCTTGACTTGCATTGGAATTAACACCCTTTTACACAGAAGCACATCGTAAAGCAGTTCAGAACTCAACACCAGTCTTGCTTGTAGTAGCCCACACTTTGTGTGAGATGCATTCAGCAATCTTCCCCTTTACAGGAATGTTTAACATTTCTGTAGTTTTTAGCTCAGTAGTTATAGGAAGCAGCCAGACTTTGAACACTTGACGTTGGTTTGCTATCACCAAAGTGATTCACAAGTGGTTGGTAGAGGCAGATGGTTGCCATTTTCCAAAGAGTAATTGCAATGCACTTGTACAACAGCTTTAGTTTTTCAGTCTTACTGTGCAGCAACAATCAGGAGATTGTAAGTGAAATTAATCCTGAGCTGGAAACGGCACTTTTGTGCATCTTCCTTAGAACAATCAGAGCCCAACAGCTGCGTCTGAGAAACTGAAAGCTGTCATAAGGATAGTGATATTAACTGTTTCATCTAAATGAAGGTGGTAGCAAAGAGAGCTCTGTAGCTCTTGGAAGCTCAGAAGCTAGGTTAGCATTTTGATGATGATCTAATTAAAGAATGAAAATACTGTGACTGTGCCCACACCGGGCAACTGTCTGAAGTTGTCTTAATTATCAGCTGCTGAACTGAGTGTTTAAAGCAAAGGATGAACTGCATTCGACCTCACCTGCCAGGACCCAGCTTCACAAGTTAAAACAGGTAGTTAAAATTGCACTCAAATGTGAACTTCCCCTACACATTGACAAACTAAAAGGGGGATGAATTCCGCTTTAAGAAAATGAAGTGCATTTTCAGCTCATGGTTCCTGAGTTTTCTGTATTATGTGGGTTCTCTTACAGCCCTGCTGTAGAGATAACATGCTTTATAAGGTGAGGTTAGCTTTGTGGAACAGGCAGTTCCTCCTGAAATACTTCTTCAAGAAGTTAAAAGACAAGGACTTTCCTTTTTCTGTGCATTTCTGTTCTTTTCCACCGCTTAAACAACAGCAATGACAAAAGAACAGAAATGCAACGCATTTACCCTTAAGGTGGCTCTTAGTTCTGAACTCATCCCATTATTTTATTTCCACAAACAATGCAATTCTTTAAGAACTTTGCCCTGCAGTGTGCTGGAGTTTTTTCATGTAGCTCAAAAAGCCATTGCATATATCTGAACATGCCCAGAACTAAAGTTTCAACTTACATTCATACTTCGTGTAGCTTAGCTTTAAGCCAGAACCATACATCTTTTCTGTACATCCTTAGATCTCCTCATCCTGTAAAATATTACAGGTTTTCTGAATAATTTAAGCAATAAAAAGTATTGTGAGCAGTACCTGACCTCTAGATAATTTGCTTTTGATGGCGAAAAAGAGCCCCAAAGAACAACATTTCAAACTTCAGCAGTTGAATTGTGACAATTACAGACACCTGCATAACATTTAGCACCAGGAATGCTTGCTCACAGCATAGCTGCCTGAAGAACTGCAATATCTGGCAGCTTATTTGCAAGTGTTTTCTGCTTTTCATTGACGAAATGTACATCTTGGATCATTAGTGTCACATCAAGCAAAAGCCAAAATTTTGATGTCAAGATTGTGGTGACATGAAGAATTGTCAGTGTATGTTATTGAAATGTGATGTCATGAGCATGTAATGATTATTTGTTTTATATGCTGTTTCCTTGTGAGTACCAGATGTTTTTAAAGAAATGTGTGGACTGTATAGAAGCACAGATAGCCAGCGGTGGTCAGTGGCCTCTGCAAAGGCATGGAGTAGTTCCTTAGAAATGTCTGAAGTCTTGAAAGATAATGAGAGTATTAGGATGCTGAAGACTTGACTGTAAATACTCAAAAATAATCCCCGAGATTGGAAATGTACAGAAAATTATCTTTGTGTTCTGCAGCATTCCAGATCCTCACAATGAGGATGTGAAGAAATCCCCATGACAGCGATGCTGATGATCCCATTGACAAATATTTCCAAAGTCACTCATACAGCTATTGTACATTTGGGATTCCTGTCTTGGTAGCAGCAGCAGCCGCCTCATTATAGAGTATTTGGATCTCATGTTTAAGTAAAGCTTCACTGGAAGGGAACCTAAAAGCAGCCAGGAGGCTGGCTTAGTAACTTCAGCACAAGGAAAAGTGCTGAGCTTTCCAGGAGATATATGAATGGACTAGGGGAGTCTTTTTAAAGGTTATGAAGTCCTTCTTTCTCCCTAGGTCTGAGAACTCCTATTGAAATGAAAGAAACCTCTGTCCTATTCATTTCAAAGGGAGTTTTGTCAGGAAAAAGAGCTTGATCAAAGTAGCTACTAAGCATTCTTAGTGGCTAATGTTTGGAGTTCAATGTATCAGCTGTTCCAAACCATTTCTATTTCAAATTATTCAAAGGCTTTAAGGAACTGGCTCCCTGCACGTTTTCCTCTTTAAGATTACCAAAACCTATCAGCCAAAATGTGAAATCTGGTATGGAATAGCTTCTTGGGGCATTTAAAGAGCTGAACAAAAATTAGAAAATTAAGTTAAAATCTTCATCCCAACAACGGGCACCATATAAAACTAAATAAAAGGGAAGCTATGGAAATAGCTGATTCCCAAAACTACAGCAGGAA